CCACTATTTGGCCACCTTATCTCTTGTATTGCTAATATGTCAATTGTATAGTTATTATAAGCGTCGAGTACATATTACAAAGCTCCAGGTTTATTTAGTGTTCTGACGTTCCAAGTTCCTATACGTAGCCCATTTTCCGAATTCAATTGTTTGCCATTTTCAGTGTATAAGTTGGCTATAGAAAATTCTCGGTAATCTTCTGAATGTTGGCGGACGATGAAAAGATAAGATAAGTGTTGACGAGTGTAAATGARGTAGAAACAATTTTGGGACAAAACAGGAAAAGTCTTGGAATCAAGGTATGGCGTCTTTAATAAACGAGGAGTAATTATGTAGTATAGAAATCGATAAGATCTGAAATGTATGTATGGAGTTTATAGATTTGGAGACTTAGATTTGGGYGTATGTTAGAATGCAAGGAGAGGTGTTGTCAGTATCATTCAGAATGAAAAAAATACTGAGGTTTTATGAGGAGAAACGGAATAGTTCTGTATAGATATTTACAAATATACAGTTTTATCTTTTAMATGTTTAAGTTAGTTATGTTATGAAATTATGGAACACAAATAGGGTGATGTGGTATGGTGCATTATGCTTGCAGATATATTATAGTATGTTTGAGAGAAATCCCAAAWTMATTGAACGAAAGRCTGGAAGAGGGGAGAACATGCTTGAAGCAAACTAATACAAAGAAAAAGAAGTAAATACAACTAATTGTGTATGATTTTGGAGGAAGAGATTGWGAAATTGATAACTTTAGACATGTAAATGGATGTAGTATGAAGTCAATAGATCAAAGTACTTAGGTCAATGTCACTTAAGATCAACAGTACAAAATTATKGTGGTTTTTTAAGAAGATATTAGAAARTAATTATGTGTGATTGAATTAAATGAAAAGATGKGTTTTTAGAKGATGTAATTTAAWTAAAAAGTAGATAAAAAATTCGTTTGGCTAGGTAGTTACTTTGTGTGTATAGGGATATTGCGTAATAAACAATAAAACAAAACGGGTTGTGAGTACAGGGGAGATTAGAATACCTACTAAGAAGTTTGTGAGAAGTGATAGAGATTAGGGAAGTAGGGATTCAGAAGTAAATTCTTTATATGTAGTTTAGGAATTGCATCAATTATTGTACACAGAATGAGGGTGAATTGATTATGTTACGAGTTAGTGTGAGTAGCTATGGAAATA